TTGTTCCACTATTACACCACCTTCAGTCCGGACGATATGGATCATATAGTGGAACTTTTCAGGTTAATTTACACTTTCTTTTTTATATAGATCTGAGGACCAGAAAATGAACTGTACATGGAGCATCCTGATCATCTAAAGAAAACACAAGGATTGATTATGCTAGTTTTTTTAAACCTGTTTCTGAAAATTATTTACTCAATTGTCCACGTGTCTGACAAAACAAAATATGCAAACATTTTACAGAAAAAAAAACGTATCTTCATAAAATAATTTATCACATTTTCACTGTTTAGTGGAAGTCTTAGTCATGATTATGTATTATATAATACATATTTTTAAGACATTTTTTAAGACAAACACTAGTTTGTCTAGTGTTTGTGAAAGAGCACTAACTATATTATAACCTTCACATAGACAAAGTCCTGGATAGTTGGTTTGGAATGTTGTCTCTTTTCTTGACTCCTAAAAACATCAGACCAGTGATGTGCGATGATGTGTGATGATACAGGGTTGCTGCTCTGTGCCGCACTGCACTGCAGCATGCAGAGGACCTAACCTCCAAGGAGATTTCATTAGTATTGGTTTCGGTGCAAAGACTCTGTGCCAAGAAAACATGCTTGGTGAACAGAAACGATGCAGGGAGGCTCCTTACAAGCAAATACAATGCAAATGAAAAGGAAAATAACCCAACCTATTTTAGTGCTGGCTGGGGAAAGAAAATACTACATTTCTGGCCTTTTTGAGGAATAACTGGGAGGGACAGAGTTGCCGTAATGTGGGATTATTTTTCAGTGCTGCAGAGTTTTAGAGGTGATTCTTATTTGTGAACATTTACAGCCATCAGTATGAATCAAAGCTTTGTTGTCATGGCCATAGATGTCTCCTAGCAGCAAGAAGACAGTTGTCTCCTTTTGTGTTCACCCTCCCACGCAGGCTTCTTTAGGGAAGTCTTACTGCAGATAATACCAGAAGAAGCAGCTTTTATTATTCAGCTTCATTCTTGTCTTTATGTCTCCCTTCATCGTATCCCATGTATATTATTAGCCCTGTGTGGGAAGGGGTCCAGTTGCCTAGGTGAAAATGGATCAGTCAGATGATGCAATGCTTTTTGCAGTGAGTAAGAGAGTTTTCTGTGCTCATTCTGCCATATGTATGGCTTTTTCATCATTTAATGCAGTGACTGCTTCTAGACTTTCCTTCTCCCTTCGTCCTACAGGGTGCGTTTTTTTCTTCTGATTGAACCTGACGTCTTAAAAGCTCTTTCTCTGCCTTTAAACATTGATCTCACCCTGGTCAGCCTGCGTTCAGACCACTCGTTCTGTCAACATCTCCCCCCCGGCAGTACATTTGCCATTAACTTCATCAATGTGCATGTGTGGGCTGGGTTTTTTAGCTTTGTAAATCTAGTTTGTTTTACCAGTAGGAGTTTAATAACACTGCTAAACAAAGGAGCCATCTCCATCTTTCTTTTTTGACTTGCAGGATAAATGCTGATGTTTTGACGAGAGCAGCTCTTTGAAGTTATATCAAATTATTTGAGTTTCTTTTTTTAAAGGTTAAATCTGTGCGATTATACAACTTTGCAATCACCGCTAAGCTTCTTCTCCCTTTTAAACCTTAAAATTATTAATCTTTTCACCATTATTTTATTGTTTTCTGACATGTCAAGATAAACAGATAATCTTTTAAAAATTTAAATAGATTGAACTTGTAATCATCATGACAATACTTATTAAGCACTGAGTTAAATCTCAGTAACAGCTTTATATGTAAAACCTCATTGATTCTGGGACCCTAGAATTAGAGCGGGTCTCAAGTGAAAGCTTCCCCCTCTCAATTAATGCCAGTTCCAAAGCTTAGCCTATATTTCAGCTTGTCTCACTAAAGATGAAAATCAATCAAACATTTGGTTGTTTTTTTTATTAATTTACAGCACTGGAGGATGTATGGTAGCCTCGTGAGGCCATCCTGATCTTGTGAGCTTTCAAGATTTCACTCGCCAATCAGTCTGGAGACTCTCAGTTAAAGAAAATT